GAACAACCTGCCTCCAGAAGTGGTGAATGCTCCAACACTGGAAGTTTTTAAGAAGAGACTGGACAGCCATTTGTCTGAAATGGTATAGGGTTTCCTGCCTGAGCAGGGGGTTGGATTAGATGACCTCCAAGGTCCCTTCCAACTTTATTATTATTATTATTATTATTATTATTATTATTATTATTATTATTATTATTATATGATATTATAATTATCATATCATTAAAGTATAGATTGAAAGAAATATTTACAGTTCATGCAAAAGATTAAGTACCCCCAGTCAAATTAGATATTTCCCTAAATCAACAGAACCATTACATGGTGCAAAGTTAAATACAACGTCCTTCTCTGTCCTTGAGTGCATATTTTCTATTTATGTGCAGTTGTTTACACTTTCAAAATCAGCAACAGTGAACAGTGATCAAAAATAATAGAAGTCCAATATTTTACCAGACAGAGAATGACCAGTTGCTAACATATTGAACAGTGGGAAAATAAGTCATCAGTATCTTAAGTCCTTTATTAATTCTAAATCAAGAAGTAGGCAGGGGATAGAATAGTGCACCTATATAGTACCGTATCTCACCTTCGTTAAATGCATGCACACTTATTTAGAAAGCACTTAGCTATATAATATTAAGTAGAGAGAAAAACATTTTGTCACTCTGCAATTTACAATTGCAAGTGGTTACTCTTATATCAAATGGATAGCAGAAGAGGGAGTAATGAAATATTGTATTCTGTCTGTAAATTAGGCTTGCTGGGGGAAAAATTAGATGTCTGTATAATAAAGATGACAAATTCTGAAATAATGTGTTGTATTGATTTTCTCTCTTGAGAATCTAAAAAAGCCTGGTCTGCATATGACAGTAAATTGTAATATTGCATTCATACTTTATACAAAATCAGAAACTAACCAGCAACATGATGGCTTAATAAGATAAAGTGAACGGAAACTGACTTTTTTTACTCAATCTCTTTGATTTAATAGATTCTTCAATCTATGTTTGCCTGATTAAACTCTTCATACCTATGTTTGATATAGTGTTAATATTTATGAAGGATTCTGATTCTTGTAATGATGTTCTTGATAGTCCAGGTTTCAGCTGCGGAGGTATACACACCGCCAGACTTTCCTGTGGAGAATGGGACTGAAGCAAAGCTTCCATGCACTTTTGCTTCCACAGAAGTGATCAGCAGTTCAACTTCTGTCACCTGGAGTTTCCAAGGCGAGGGATCATCATCTCTTGTCTCGGTAAGATATTGTTTGCAAAAGAAAATTGTAAGGAGTAAAAAGCCCTGCCTGTTCTTGCTTGCTCCTTGTACTACTAAAAGCCTGATTGTTCCCTTGAAATGTTAGTTGAGATATTAATTGCATTTTACTCCAAAATTGGTTGCTACCAAAAGCCTTGCTTAGATGAGGAAATGTTTTAATCCACTTCACCTGCTTGGTTAGTTATCTTTTATCTTAATATGATGGGAAAATGAAAAATTGATACCAGAAGGAAATCATGTAATAGTAATAGTTATCAGTTCAGTAGTTTGGGGGAAAAAACAGGATTGAGGAAAGTGAGGCAGAGCAAGATAACTGAGCTCCTGGAATTACCTTTAAAATTCTTGTGATATTATGTGTAAAATATTTCTCTGATCTTTCAACTGGTTTAAAACCAGCTTTACAGGCTCTCAAGTAGAGTATTATCCTTGTCACTCTTGCACTGGATTGAAATTCATTTATGAGTTGAGTTTTAAAGAAATTTAGATTAGTTAAGAAATAGGGGAAAGCAGGTTTTTAATAGAGCATATTTTTGTGTTTTTGATTATAGTTCTTCTATTATTCCAATGGAAAAGCATATCGTGCGAAGAGTACACAATTTGGTGACAGAAGCAGCTGGGCTGGAGACCTTAACAGAAAAGATGCATCAATCACTATAGCAAACATGCAATTTCAGGACAATGGAACCTATATCTGTGATGTTAAAAACCCTCCAGATATAAATATTACACCCGGAAAAATCAAAGTCAGGGTTATGGAAAAAGGTATAGTAATAAGTGGATGAAATGAAAAATTAATTAATGAGTAATGGGGAAGTGGTGCGTAAGTTGCATTCTTTCTCTAAAATTACTGTATGTAACAATGCGCTGAAGCAAGTACTTGTTTGGCATTAATTAAGAAGTATGTGTTCATGTTTCTTCTGTCTATCTCTTCTAGTATAAGTAAGATAATTTGACTAGGGGCAAAAATAGTTATTCTCCAGTACAGGAGACGGAGACTCCACCAATGGGTTTCCTTAGTCTGCCTGCTCTTGAGACCAAGTATCCAAAACTTGTCACGCCCCCTCCTACCGGTAATCCAGTCTTAACTTGGTCTCCGCTCTTGATGACTCGTTTTGGCTTGGCTCTCAGCTAGATCAGGTTAGACATTAATAATCCATTGGTGAAGTCTCC